CCAGAAATAAACTCTCATATATATGGTCAATTAACCTAATAAGAAAAGAGGTAACAATATACGATGAGGGAAAGACAGTGTCTTGAATAAACGGTGTTGAGAAAATTGGAAAGCTACATGCAAAAGAATAAAACTAAACCACTATTTTACATCATATATAAAAATAAAGTCAAAATGAATTAAAGACTTGAATGTAAGATATAAATCCATGAATCTTCTAGAAGAAAGCATAGGCAATATTCTCTTTCACATTATTCTTAGAAATAATTTTGGGGGCTAGTCTCCTCAAGCAAGGGCAACAAAAGCAAAAATAAACAAAGGGATTACATATTACATAAAACTCAAAAGATTTTCCACAGAGGAAAAAATCAACAAAACAAAAAGATAACTTACTAAATGGGAGAAAATGTTTGCAAATGATATATTTGATGATAAATGGTTAATACAAAAAATATATTAAAAACTCTTACAACATAACAGTAAAAAAAAATCCAATTAAAAAATAAGCCAGAGGACCTTATAGACATTTTTCCCAAGGGGACACACAGATGGTCTACAGACATGTGAAAAGACACTCAACATGACTATCAGGAAAATGCAAGTTTACACAACAGTAAGATATCAACTCACATCTGTCAGAATCACCATCATCAACAAATACACAAATAAAAATACTGCAAAAATGTGGAGAAAAAGGAACCCTTGTACATTCTTGGTGGAACTGTAAATTCAATACAGAGTTTCCTCAAAAATTAAAAATAGAACTGCCATATATACCAGCAATTCAACTTTTGGATATTTATCTAAAGAAAACAAAAATGCTAATTCAAAAAGATATATGTACTTCTATGTTCATTAAAGCATTGCTAATAATAGCCAAGATGTGAAAGCAACCTAGATGTTCCTCAGTAGATGAATGGATAAAGATGTGATATTATTTAGTCATAAATAAGAATGAAATCTTGCTATTTGCAGGAATACAGTGGGCCTAGATGTTATTATGCTAAGTGAAATAAATCAAAGAAAGAAAATACCCTCTGATCTCACATGTGTAATCTAAAAACAAACAAACAAACAAAATAAATGACTTAACAGAAATAGAACCTGAGATATAGAGAACAAGCTGATGGTTGACAAAGGGGAGAGGGTGATGGGATGAAAATATAAATAAATTAATTAATGAAACCTTCCCTTCCCTCTAAAAAATATTATGCAATAAAATCCACAGGGCACATGGAAAACACGTTTTTGGGGGCAGTACTTATAAATTTGGTCAGTGACACACAAAAATGTATACAAACTGTATAAAGATGACAACAAAATTTTACACATGTTAAATAATTAACAAACATATAGTAAATGGGCAGATACCATGAATAGCCTTTTTTTCAAAGAAGACAGACAGAGAGCCAACAGGCACATGAATATATGTTCAACATCACTAATTATCAGGGATATGCTAAAATGAGATATCATCTGTCAGAAGAGTGATCATCAAAAAGAAAAGTGTGGGTGAGAATGTGGAGAAATGTGATTCTGGATACATTGCTGGTGGGAATGTAAAGAGTGCAGCCACTATAGAAAACACTACAGAGGTTCTTCAAAAAATTAAAAAATACAGTTACCATATGATCTATCATTTCTTCTTGTGAGTATTTATCCAAAAGTATCTGAAACACTAATTTGAAGAGTCATGCATACCTCTATGTTCTTTAAGTCATTATTCGAAATATCCAATGTATGTAAATAACCCAAGTGTCCATCAAGAGATGAATGGACAAACAAGGTGTGGTACATACATAATGGAACATAACTCAGGCTGAATATTTCCATTTGTGACAATATGGATGTACCTAGGTATTATGCTAAGTGAAATAAGAGAAAAACAAATACTGTATGATTTCACTAATATACATAATCTAAAAAACAAAACAAATGAACAAACAAAACAAAATCTAAACAGACCCATAAGGCCAGGAAACAAAGTAGTATTTACCAAAAAGGGGAGTGTTTGCAGGATGGTAAAATAAGTGAAGGGGTTTAAAAGGTATAAACATTCAGTTTTAAGATAATGCCATGGGCATATAATATAAAGTACAGGGAATATAACAATAATATTGTAGAAGCTTTGTATGGTAACAGAGAATAACTAGGCTTATTATAAGGTTCATTTTGTAATGTGTATAAATATAAAATCACTATGATGTACTCCTGAAACTAATAAGACACTACATGTTGACTATACAGCAAGGAAAAAAAACCACGAAAAACTACAATGTAGCTACTATTACAAACTAATCAGATACGCTTTGGGGAGCAGTAGAAACTCTCACAAAAGCTGGTAGCACTATATGCCAAATGGATACAACCCTTTGGAAAGTTGGCATTATTGATTAAAAATCATCATACACACACAAAGAATTCCACTTCTAGCTATATATTTAGAAGACATGTGTGTGAATGTTCACCCAAAGACATTTATAAGAATGTTCAAAGTAGCATTTATTTTAGAAGCCCTTGAGTGAAAATAAAACTCAAACATCTACCCTGATTGGAATGGATAAAAATAAATTGTGATCTATTTTATACCCTGTAATAATAAACTGAAATAAAAAGAAAAACAAAACTGCTATGTGCGACATGGATAAATCTTACAAATGCAATAGTGATCAAATAAGCCAGAAAAAATAATATATATTAATCCATTTATAAAGTTCAAAAAAAGACAAAGCTGACATATAAAGTTAGAAGTCAGAAGAGTGGTACCTTTGGAGAAGAGGTAACAAGCAGTATTTAGAAGAAGGCACAAATGACGATTCTGAGTAATATAAATGTCTTAGAAGTTTCTTGATTTGGGCGTGATGGTTTTCAGTATTCAAAATAACTTATCAAGCTACTTATGATTTTTGTTTTTTCACATGCATGCATTTCTTTATTGAATATGTTATTCAAAATTCCTACCTTCTATTTCCTTTTACATAATTTGAAGTCCTCTTCAAAAATCTATTCTTGTTGACTGTCTTTGCTCCATACCAACATGATTTTTGTTTCCAACCATATCTTATTTCTGAAAATTTTCCTCTTTTTTTTTTTTATCTCATTGAGCCATTCCTAACAGCCTTTTCTAGAATTTCCTATCTCTTTCTTGATTGACACTAATATTCTCTCTGCCTCTCATCCAGCTTTGGCTTCATAGACCACCCAAGAGAGCTATGTATATCTATATTTTAAAGAGCATTTCTCACCATCCAGTGAAAATGAGGGAGGGGGAGACTGTATACCAAGAGTATAAATGTTTGTTAGAATAATTTTATAATGGATATTTCTAAACCCATTATATTACCATTTAACTCCCATAGTATATCACTTTTTTGTGGTTTCATTTAGATGAAACTGCTCATTCTTATCTTTTTTCCACTGAAAGGTCCAAGAAAATTTCAGTTGGTAGGTGGTTGCTACATATTTTAACTGAAAGATAGCATGCAAAATGCTGAGAGAATGATTTTAGCAACCAAAGTAGTTAAGAGTGAGAATTGCATATTAACACCTAAGTAAACAAGTATATTTTGCTTTTAATTGGGGAATAAAAGAAAACGTATATCTGAGCCACTTCCCCTAACTTCATATTTGCTGAGGACAGTAGAAAGGGGTCGGTGACCATCACTAAACAGTTGAATTTGTGCAATTGCATAGATATTCTATACTCTTCTACATCTACACTAATTTATGACCTGAGTCTTGGTATCCCAAAGTAACACTTTTGAAAACAGAGACTCAGGAAAGTCAAGTAATTTGCTTGAAAGCATATACCAATGAAATGATTGTTACCAAGATTTGAACCTCAGACTGTGGTTGATTCCTAAACCCGTGGTTCTTATTCTGTGTCTTTGTGCTCATTTGTATGAAGGTTAATGAGACGTGCATGCATACTGAGGGACTCAGGGACTGCTGATTACTTGTATAACATTTTAAAATATGATTTTTTATTGGCCTCCCTTTATTTTTGTGCTTAACATTTAATATCCAAATTAAGAAGACATTATCTTTATATCTTTTCTAATGCACCACTTTCACAGTTATCCATCAAACCAGTTGGAACTCGTGGTTGGAAATTCCTAGAGACTGCTGATAATGGTGCTAAATCTCTCTTCATTAGTTCCATTCATTAGCTTCAATAACTGAATATATTAACTAGACCTCACACATATATTAATCCCATAACTTATTAATGTTCAGAACAAAATTAGATTGTCACCTTTTTGAATACATGACTTGATTACCAAATCAAATAAAACTGTTGTTGAAATATTTTAAATCCAAATTTTAACTGTTGGTCCTCTCTCATTTCTTTTTTGTAGCAAACAAATGTTAAAATAACTTTTTTATGAACACATATATAAAGAGACACAATTTCAAAATGATAAACAATCTAATGTGATTTAGTAATACTTAAGAAATTATTATAGGTGGAATCATTTCTTAAGATTTTTAGGGGAAAAATGTATTTCTTAATGTAATCTGTGCAAAACTCAATCTACTGATAAATTTTTACTCTGCATTTCTTCTTCAGATGTCCAGGGTTAATCGAGACTGAATTATATTTAGAATGAGTCACAGTAGTCACAGTATGACAAACTGTCCTAAAATATAGCTACTATCCTAAGTGTTCCATCTGCTTCCTATTGACTAAGCAGCTCATTACCATTACTACCACCTGCAGGAAGCTCACCTGTTCTGTTGACTAGAGGTAAATGTTGAGACAGCAGATGCTAGTAAAAAGGTGAGGCCAGAGAAGTGACAAAAAGAAGTTTAAATAGAGATGCTTGAAGCAAAAAAGATTATAAGTTTTTTAAATGCAAAGCTTTCTCTCTCTCTCTTTTTTTTTTTAACTCTAAGTAATTTTACACGGGTAGAAAGGTATTTTACTCTAAGTTCAGTTAGCATACTTCTCAGTAGAGTGATGTTTGGGTGTAATAGGAAGGAGCAAATGAGGCACATACCTTTGCTTGTCCTGCTTTTGTGATGGCAGGTATATTAAAGAACTGTCCGGTATAAAAATGTATCCCACTGAACAGGATCACTGCAATAGAGTCTCCTTCCTTCTCAATTACTTCAAGGATATCTTCTGTTCTCAAAGTTTCTTCCCCCTGAAGTTGCATTAGGCCCAAGTTACATCATATCCACAATAATAAATTTCTCATTTCATATTTCCCCATCTAAAATTCACCAGGAGCTCTTTCCCACCGTAAGTAAAATCAAAGGTAAAATTTTTTCAGGTTAATCCAAAACTTGGCAGGAAAGCATCATTTGAGCATATTTTCTTATTATTATTAAGTAATGATAATAAAAGAGTGAAAAGAGTTTTATAAAGTGTATATTTTTGAAGAACCTTAATTGACTTATTTTTCAGTTTTTAATTAACTGTTACCATATGCTTGCTTATAAATTGTTTCCCTCTAATTCAATAAAACAAAGGAAGTAAAAGTCCACAAAATATTAAATAGCAAGATAAATTTCATAGAAATAAGTATTTCAACCTAATATCCTGTTTTATGAGTTTAAATAAAAACTTATGCATCTTTCATAAATAAAAAGACTTATGTGTCTTTCATCTAAATATAACCTAACCAATATCTCCTATTAACTTAAGTGTTAAATCTCCTTCACAGCAATCTAAAGATCAAAACGCAAATATTATGAAAAAAATATCAATAACACTCTATTATTAAGGCTATTTTTCTGCACATCTCCCTAGCTAAAACTAATGATTGGTTACATTATTTAGTGAAAATTGTGAATGAATTTAGATTTGGTCCTGAAAACAACTTGAACAGAAAGAAATCAGCTATATAAGAAATATCAACTTATATCATAACAATTTTTATCTATTTATGAAGTCTCAAGGACTTTTCTCCAGTGCTGAATCTCACATGATTATGAGGTGGAAGCATCACTAACTATATTAATATTTGAGAAAAATTCACTATAGTATTCGTAAGTTTTTCTTGTTATTTTTAATTTTTGGTAATTCTTGTCACTTGCTAATTACTGCATCCCATGTTAAGCGTAAATTATATATATATATATATATATATATAATCACACATATAATATACACTTTAATTTCTACCAGAAGCTTAGAACTTGTTCACAAAACAATCTATAAAAACAATATTGATATTGAAATCTCTAAGTTTTTAAGGATGCATACTTTATATATAAAGATAATGATTTCAGTAATTATGAGAAAATCTAAGTAAAATTAATAACATAGTAATACAAAATTCTTTTTCTTGAAAGACTTTCATATGATTTGTCCATCACAATTTCAAAAAGAGTAAGGAAAGGACTCAATATACTAATACGTGTTATTTATTTTAAGAATCAGTATTAAGCAAATAAATGTATTTGTTAAATATAGACTATGGTAGTGATTTTCAACCAGTGTGCTGCAAAAAATTTTAAAACATGCAATACTCAACTATTTCATAAGGGGCACTGACCTCTTTTCCTTTAGATTGTCAAATAAAAAATGACAATAGCCAATACAATAGCCATCCAGTGAGAATCAATCAACATGATACCTATTTTTTTGTCAATTGGCCAAAAATATAACATGGTTTTAGTGTGCCACAGAATTTTAATAATTAGTTTATGTGTGTCATGAGAGGAAACAGGTTGAAAATCTCTGGGATATGGCCCTCTTTCATGTTGACTTGCTCTAATCTAGTGTCCAAGAGTGCTCCCAAGATTATGACTGCCTAATGAGGCTTCATAACACTTGTCACTTTTAAAATTAAAATGTGATATATTAGTGGCTACATTCATTTTTGTGTGACATTAGCTATTTATATATGACCTATGAAAAAATATCCTCTTACAGGTGTGGGGACTTTGTTTCATTGATTTATTGCATGTCGGCAAATAAAAGTGAATGAAGTAGATTTTAATTCCTCCAAATATTCTGGGTTGAAAGAAATACTTGCTCAAACATTGGCTTAACAGCCTGGCAGCATCATTTGGGAAAACTAAAATTTATTCTGTGTGGGTCTCTTAGTGTGAAATTTCACAAGCTGCAGGGTTTATATGTCAAAGTTTCTACAACTTAGCCCTATTGCTCTATTAATGTAATGTGAGCAGTTCTTTAGATCTTGAACATATGCTCAAATCTATTAGTTTGTTTCCTCTGTTACCAGTTTAAATATGAAGGAATCCCAGGGAGATAAAGTAACTTTTCCAAAGTCCCTTATCCAGTAAGTTGGTGAGTATGGAATTTCTCAGGCATTTATTAGCCACGTAAAAAGTCCAAGCTTTTTCTACGGTACCACATCCCTTTCTGCACCTTAGTCCAAGCTCAGAAGAAAATGTTTGATTCTTAGATTAAGAAACGACCTAAAAGATAAGCATCATTCAGTTCCAATATCACTACTTTTTACTATTCTTTTAATGGCATCTGCCGGTATGGCATTTGATAATAAAAATTTGCAGTAAAACAATATACTTGTAATATGACTAGCCCTTGAAAAATAAAAATAAGTACATTTCTAATTCTCCATTTTTAGCAAAATAGAGAATTGTGTTACAGAAATATAGGTTTTTTACTCTTTCTTGAAAGTTCTATTAAAGTAGTGATGATAATAAACTGAAGAAAATAGAGAAAAAATCAATACTAAGTAGAGACATTATGAATATTTATTTCTTTCTCATATACCTCTCTTGGCTTTATAATCCGCATACTTTCCTCAACATTGAGTCTGTGAAGTTGAAGCTGTGATTCAACAGCATACTGGAAAAGAAGGATAATTTATTGAATCTAGTCCAATAGTACTTTTAAAAGTACTTTGAAATAACCCCTGAAAATACATAATAAAATAACAATAAAAGTATGTTATTATATTAATTGCAAGGTCAAGGTTAAAAGTGATAAACACAACACATTAGAAAAGAACTGCTTACTATAATTTACATGTTCAGGAATCTGAATATTCCTCAAAACACTAAGTAATAGAGATAAATTAAAACATAAGTATCATCTAGACTTTAGGAGGTTGCAAGAGATTTTTAGAATGGGATATTAAATTATCTATGAAAGTCAAAGCCAGAATTTACAAAATAACCAAAGTGAGTAGTGTGGACTTGCTGGGCTAGAACAGAGAATATAGAAATAGCTCACCCTAGACAAGATAAGCTAGTAAAAGAAAAAAACATCAAAAATTTCCCTTCTTTGAGAGTACAAGATCTGAATGGGTCGCAATTACAGTGACCTTGAATTTTTTTCAAGATATTAATTGAGGGTTTTTTTTTTATTATGGTAATGACTATTAACATGAACATAATTCGAAGACTTAAAATTACAAGATGTGGGCTAGAATACTTAACAGTGAAAATATAAAGACAAAACTCAAGTTTCTCTGGCACTAAAACTGAAATGTGCAATATACTTTTACCTGTGGCTGTGGCTGGAATAATTAAACTTCTTATCAACTTGAATAGCTGATAAAATAGCATGATCTTTTTAGTGAACCAGAAGAAATATTTTTAATCTCTAACAAGTAATTTAATACTTATGGTAGTATACTATAAAAATAAACAGATAAAAGTTTATATTACTATTCTTTGCAGCTAATGTGTTAAGTACTTGGCAATGTATCAGTTTCATTTTATATAAAATAGAAGAGAAACATGAATTAACAAAACATTTATAACTGCACTAGATTTAAACCAGCAGTTTGTTCAATGTTGTTAAAAAAAGACTAATAAATCAATGTTCTTATTCAATTCTTTCCTCCTTTAACACATGTTTTACTTGAACAAAAGAAATAAAGCTACAATTTATTTTTAAAAAGTGCCTAAATTATTTGGCAGTTCTTTTTATTCTAAGGTTACTTGGAAAAGACTAGTGAATAAACATTCAAGTCAGGCATATTTCATGTTCTTCTAGGAAGAATAAAGAGAATGTAAATATAAATTTGAAGAATCCTTACATGATCTGAAGGGAAGGCTTTGGCTTCTAGAAGAATCTTATACCGTTTTGGTGTAGGCTTAAAAAACGATAACTGCAATAAAATGGATTTATTGGGAAAAGCATTAATGCACAATTATACATTTGTTTATCTTACAACTACACCACCATAGTAAAACAGTATGTTACTATTTTATAATCTTCAACATTTTACATGCACTAATTAATTACACATCTAGGGGTCTGTCAGGGGTACCTTTTCCAATTAGCCTTGTTTCCAATGAATTATAAAGAGAAAAAAAATACTGACTCATTATGTTTATTGATGTAGAAGCAAATTCAGGAGAAAATGTGAATCAGAAAATACAAATCCTTAAAGTTTACTTGAATTATAATTAAACAATTGTCTTCCCAGTGCATTTAATGGTAATTTCTCTATTGTGAGACTGAAATCTCATGGCCCATAGATGTCTTATTTATGTTGATTTATCTGCCACTGCTGATTTGGTTTCTAGTACATAAATTTCCACTATTTTATGGGTTTTTATTTTAGGTCCAACTAAGAAGTACCTAAGCCTGGTATGAACCATTTCACATTTCTAGAGGCACCAGGGAGAAGTTGCTCAGTTGTTCAGTGGGGTCCTTTGATTCCTCCCGACAGTCCCTGAAGAGGGGACTGACAACAACAGCAATGAAGATGATCGCTGCTGCTCCTTGGGTGCTCATCACTGGTATGGGTGCTAAAGCCATTTTCACAGATTATTACATTTCATACTTGTGCATCCCTACAAGGGAGGTATTATTTTCCTCATTTTTACAAAGAATAAAGTTAAGATTTAAAAATGCTAAAAAAAGTTGCCCAAATTCAAATAGGCATTAAGAGACTTAGTTGGGAGTCAAACCCAGAGGTGTCTGAACTTACAACTATGCTTTTTACCTTGATACTTAATATACTCCATAAGTGTGTTTCTTCATACTTAATAATCATTTCTCCATTTTACTAATATAAAATATTAATATCTTCATTGTGCATCTTGGTCATGTAGACATGTTTACAAAAACTTTTTAAAAATCCAAACATCAAGCAGTTACTGTAGACATCATATTTCAAATAAAAAATAGATTGGGTTGGCAAAAAAGTCTGCTTTTTTAATAAAATAAAACACACATTTTTCATTTTCACCAATAACTTTATTGATTTGTATATTTTGAGTATTTCTGCTACCTCTCGCATGGTATAACTTTGATTGTTCTCAATTAATGTCTAAATTTGATCGTTATCAACTTTAACCTGTGTACCTGACCATGGAGCCTTGTCCAGTAAGACATCTCCAACACAAAACTTCACAAACCACTTTTGACACCTTTGTTCAGTCATGGCACCTTCTCCATACACTGCACAAATCTTTTGTTGCATTTCAGTTTTGTTTTTATCTTTCCTGAAATAATAAAGCATAATATGGCAAAAATGTTGTACATTATCTCCCATCTTCAGCATTAAAACAAGTACCCCGAAATTCACCAATCTTGATAAGTTTCTTTTTTTTTTAATCCAGGCTGATATACCAGCTGTCACAATGTCACAATACAATCTAACAAAATAGTTTTGAATGAAGTTAAAGACAATTAAGTGCCACTAGAGCTATCAGATGGAAAAAGACAAACTTTTTGGCCAACCCAATATTTGACATTTATTAAATACTTATAGTGTAAGAAGCACCTCAAACACAGCAACTTGTTGCAGGTACTAGGTCCCTTTTCTCCAATTTAATTTTATTTTCTTTTTTAACCTATTTCAAAAAACTTATCTGTTGACCCATACTGATCCATACTGATCCATAATCCACTCTGTTAAAAGTGTCTCTCTATAAAGCTCAACATTTGTTAACATTCGTACATCATTAGATTGTGTGCTTGCAAGCAGTTTTGCTTTTCACCCACTGTGACTCTTATTCCCTGTATTCTGAGACAGGAGTTGTTCATCATTCTAAAGCTTTTTGCAAGAGTTAACTCTCCTATGACTATGAAGAAGCCTTTTTATCATGGTCCAGCATTTCCTGCTAAAAATAAAAATAACCTCACAACTTGTTTTTAAGCAAGTAAACCACCAGATGCTCATGAATTAAAGATAGAAACATGTCAAATTTTGTAAATAAATGTATACTAAACATTGATGGGAAAGAAAACTTACCAGTAGAAGATGTAAATTAACAGTCAAACCATTCATGAGGACTATTTCTTTCTCATTGGCTCCTGCAAAGTAAATGTGTCATGATTAAATTTTTTCTATTAGTGCTAAAGATACTTGAAAAAACAAAGTAGGAAGGTTTTGCTCTTTCCTCCTTAATGTTTTTTAGAGATAAAAACACATTTAATGTGTCATCACAAAAAAATGGAAGTTTTCCCACTTGACTCATTTTATCAAACAATATCTGCACTTAATGTACATAGCTAGCTAAAAACTATATTTATTTTTGATATAGTGAAAAATAACAGCAAAATAATGAAGCATTTGCTTTTTTCCTATAAACTAAAAATGATTTATCCTATCATCAGCTAGTTGGTCAAACTCCCACAGAGCATATTTGTATGGTATCTCCAAAAGAAATCATAAATGAAATGAAGGTCAATCACATTTTTAAAGCTGATTATTTCTAATGTCAAATTAAAATACACCTTTCATAAAAGAAGGCTACTTTGCCAAACGTAATTCTCTTTTATTCCAGTGAGTTATGTGATAGTTTATAAGACAAAAGAGCTAGTAATTAAAAATACAAATATCTAAATAGCTCTGGGGCTTATTTATAAACACTGATATAAGATAATTAACATAGATAAGTATTGTCTGATGAAAAAACATGCAAAATTAAAATATCTATTATACAATCATATTTGATCTAATTCCTATTACTGAGGGTTTTGGCGGTAGAAAAAGATCCAGAGCATATATTGGACAATAAACTCAGAGTATAATAACAACAAGGATAATACTTTCTTTATTTTTTAGTTTATTTTAAATTTATAAATCATGTTTATTCTGTTACAGTTGTCTCAATTTTTACCCCTTTACCCCGACCCATTCCACCCTCACCCCCCACTCCTACAGTCACTCTGTTGTCCATGTCCATGGGTCATTCATACATGTTCTTGGTCTAGTCCCTTCCTCTTCTGTCCACCATTGTCCTCTTTCCCCGTCCCCTCTGGTCCCTTTCAGTCTGCTCCATGTTTCCGTGCCTGTGGTTTATTTTGTTCATTAGTTTATTTTGTTGAATAGAGTCCACTTACAGGTGAAATCATATGGTATTTGCCTTTCATCAACTGGCTTATTTCACTTAGCATAATATTCTCTAGTTATATCCATGTTGTCGCAAAAGGTAGGAGTTCCATCTCTCTCTTTCTTTATTTCTTAAATGCAGATTGTTTTACTTATTTTTTTAAATGTCAAAGTTAATTATAAAATATTTAAAAATTTAAAACCATTATAAAGTCCCAGCAATTAAATCAACATGACACCAGCACAGAAATAATCAAGTAGATCAATGAAATATAATGAGCATCTTAAATACAAATGTATATATCTAATAATATAATATATGATTAAGTTGATATTTCAAATCAATGGGGAAAATAAGGCTTATTCAACAAATAAGGTGCATAGACCACTATTACTTGAAATAAAACAAATATAGAGCCCTATTTCACACATTATACAAGAAATATTTGGGTGAGTTAAAAATCAATATGTAGAATCTAAGGAGTTTTAGCAGAAAATGGAACTAATGTTCTTCATAACCTGAAGTAAAATATTCAAACTCAGAAGCTATAAAGTAAATATTGACAAAATGACTGTATTAAAATTTAAGACTATATAGTAGTGTGTGTATATATATATATATATAACTTTATAAACTATATATATATCTATATATATATAAAGTTAAAGGACAAGGTTTAGAATAGGATAAACTATTTGCTACACATTTAAAACATGGTTAATAGATTTTGTTTTTGTTTTGTTTTTAGAGAAAAAATTCTACCAACCTTTAATCAATAAATGGACAAAGAATACCAAAAAGTCATTTAAAGCTTTTTAAAAATAATAGAAATAAGCAAGAAATATACAAAAACAGGTTTAGTTTCAACAAAGAGTAAAGGAACAATGAAAATAACATCATTGTCATGATCAGATTAGTGAGTATTAAAAATATTGGTAATATGAAGTATCGGCAACTGTCAAAGGAACTGGGGATTCATAGACTCTTTTTCTTCATCTTCTTAAAGCAGTCCCTTTAGCATATTTTGCAGTGCTGGTTTGGTGGAGGTGTATTCTTTTAGCCTACTTTTGTCTGGGAAACTCCTTATTTTACCTTCCATTTGAATTGAGAGCCTTGCTGGGTAGAGCAGCCTTGGTTCCAGGTCTTTGCTTTTCATGACTTGGAATATTTCTTGCCATTCCCTTCTGGCTTGCAGTGTTTCTGTTGAGAAGTCACCTGCTAGCCATACCGGGGCTACTACCCTGATATGTGTACTACCTCTTCCTCCCTTGCTTGCTTTAGGATTCTCTGTTTGTCTCTGATATTTGTCTTTTGAATGATGATGTTTCTTGGAGTGGGCCTCACTGGGTTCCTCTTGAATGGGACCCTCAGTGCTTCCAGGACTTGTGGGACTTTTTCTCTACTCCAATTAGGGAAGTTTTCCATCATTACTTTTTCAAACAGTTTCTCTGTCCCTTCCTCATCCTCTTCTTCTTCTGGTATCCCTATTATATGGATATTATTATGTTTCAGGTTGTCCTGCATTTCCCTAAATGCCTCTTCATTCTTTTTGAGTCTTTTTTCATTTTTTTGCTCTTTCTGGGAGCTTTTTTCTACTTTATCCTACAGCTCGCTGATTCGGTCCTCAGCTTCATGTAGCCTGCTTTTGATTCCTTCTACTGTGTTCTACAATTCAGAAATTGTATTCTACATTTCCTCTTGTTTCTTATTGATAGTTTCTATGTCCTTTTTCATGCTGATATAGTTTGCAGTAAGTTCCTCATAGTTTCCCTGTAGTTTTGGTAATTTTCTCTGAGCTCACTGAGCTCATTGAGCTTCCTTAGAATTATTGTTTGGAACTCAATATTTGATAGTTGACTTGCCTCTATTTCATTTAGTTCTGTTTCTGGGGATTCCTTCTTTCCCTTTGAGTGGGGCATATTTCTTTGTCTTCCCATTATTTGTGAGACTCTTGTCTTTTGCTTCTGCTTCTTAAGTTGATCTGTTTTGATATCCTGATTTTGTGGTATGAATTCCTATGGTCGGAGACCGCTGTTTTTTCTTTCTGGATCTGCTTCTGGTGATGTCAGATGTTGTCCCTGTCTGACATTAGGCAGTCTGTTCGAGACTTCCAGGAATCTACTGTTTGTGGCTGTCTCCTTCAGCTGTTAATGTAGTCACTCTGCACTCAGCAGGCCTTCTTAGACAGCTCAGGGTGGAGCAGAGTCCTTCCTGGGTGTGAGATTATTGAGTCCTTTCACGCTGCTGCCGTATGGGGGAGGAGTAAGCACTGGGATCCTGCTGGGTACTCTCTCCGGTCTTTCTCCAGAGCCTCCATCCTCAGTCTCTCCTCAAGTGTCTCCAGACCTCTCTGCACCCCCTTTCCCAGGGATCCACTGTCTGTGACTGCCACTCTGCACTCAACAGGCAGCTTAGACAGCACAGGGTGGGGTGGAATCCCACATGGGGATGGGGCTATTGGGTCCTCGGATGCTGGTGTTGCTCAGGGGGAGTGGTCTCTGCCTGAGCAAGATGGCTGCCGCCATGTGGAGGATGAGTTAGCACCGAGATCCTGTCAGCTACTCCTTCAGTTCTCTCCCCAAAGCCCCTTCCCCAGTCCCTCCTCAGGGAGACTCTAGCTCAGTCTGTCCCCACCTTTGCCAGAGCCCAGGGTAAGTGACTGCAAATAAAAATTATGCATTGGCCCTTTAATCAGTTCTTTGTGTCTCCAACCGCCTGTCTCTGGCAGAGGGCAAACCTGCTGCTTTTCGCAGCTAGCTGTTTTCTGTGTACTTTTTTGGGCTCTGGTGCTGCGGGCTAGAGACCCCCTATTTTGGTTTAGACCCCACTCTTCTCAACTGGCTGTTTCAATATCCTTCTGGTGCTGCTGCCTGTGGGCGCCCCGCCTGCCTTCTCAGGTCTGTACCAAACTCCTTTCTAGTTAGATTGTGTTAAAATCTCCTGTCTCTGAGGTTACAAGGCTCCTCTCTTGCTATTGTTCAGTTGTTTGTTCCAGGTGATTTCTCCATAATTTAGTTGTAATTCCAGACTGGTCCTGGGAGGAGGTCAGTGTGACTTCCACTCACTCCTCTGCCATCTTGATTCTCCCCTATTTTTAGCTCTTACATTGCCTCTTAAAGGCAATTAGACCCATGGAATAGGAATAATATCTCTTTACCATCACTGAGAAAAATAGGCTATGAGCTTTAATATTTGTAAGCTGCACTAAATATTAGGAAAAAAACCTATAATATAAGTCCGTTATTTTTTACGCATAGAGTTACTTCTACTAGAGTCATTGTAATAGAATAGGCAGTAATTGGAATAATTATTCTAATAGATAAATTGCAGGATTAGTTTACTTGAGGGGAGTCCACTGGAAATAATTGTACAACCTAGGTATTTAGATTTCAACATAGCATATAGCAAGGACTCATGGACGAAAACAAAGGGGAAGAGTTGAAGGAGGGAGGGAGGGAGGGAGGGGGCAAGGGAAAGTGGTAGGGTGTAGGCAGAGACAAATGTATTTGAAAAAAATTAATTAATTTAAAAATGTATAAATAAATAAATAAAAATAAATGAATAAATTTCAATACACAGCCATATTAGCTATATACCTAAACATCATTGCACATATTTAAGTATACTATTTTGTAAACTTACTGTTCCTTATAATTATTGCAACAGTTATTTGGTGGCATCACTGAAAGTGTACATTCAAATTTGGTTCTCTTTTTAGTTCATGATAAGAAAAATAAATACCCTTTTGGCTTTAAGAACAAATGATTCTAGTAAATTAATCAAATCATCAGAAGTCTGACATCAGTTTTGCAAGTTCATTTTAACCTGAAATGAACATTCACAAATGGTTGTAAATGATTGTACATACACAGAAGAAAAGTGAATAGGTAATCTGAACAAGTGAGTGTATCTACAACCAAATGGTTGTTACCATTTACTCAGATACTCACTGAAGTTGCCATTGTGAAAAAAAAAAAT